TGCTCAAGGTCGATTGACTACCAATGTCTGGAAACTGTACCGCGCTGTTCTAGGGCAGGCGTGATCTCGTAGATCCGAATCACCACACGGTCCTAGCGTGTATTCAGTCCCAAAGCAAAACGACCAACGCCTAAATAACGTAAATAACCCAAATCAACCCATCGCCGATCGGAGCTCCTAAGCCCATTGATCAAGACCCTAAAGAGCTCATCTTTTTCATTACGTGAAGTGCATATATATTCTGTGACAGTTTCACTCTGTTCTGCATCATCCTATTCGCTCGGTTTCCGTCCATTTCCGTCCAACAATCAGCGGGCCGCCTCTTGTTATTTTACTCATTGATTGTCGTATTTCCAATCATCTCATTATTCATCCGGTATAACGATTCTTGTTTTTCGTCCTACTACCACCGACTTGCTCTTTTAAAGCATTCCGCCATCCCGAACCTTTTTCTCTGATACTTTGTCCACTTTGTGTTCCATTTGTAATTATGTTCACTGCGACCTTCAAATTTTTCCCTTTGGGCTTTTCCTATACGGATGATTATATTGTACATTTGATCATGGCTATGCATGCTTCACGGGGCTCCGTGAAATAAACACTTATTAATATTAATATTATTGCTGGAATTAGCCATCTCTCAGTTGGGACTATCACGTGTGGCTTCTTATCACGCTCCAATTGTCGCATCTAGAGGATTTTATTAGTGATACTGAGGCAGTTGGTTGATAAGCACTTTAGCACCTGCTCACTATATATTTCAGTAGGTCTAGTAGGATGGCAGGGGACATGCGAGAGTTTAGAGTGGAGGCGTTTCTACCTTTTGGCTTCGAGGAGGTCGTGGCACACGTGGAAGCTTCTTGAAGGGTGGTGCCATGTGTTTAGCATAATTGTTGCGTGCTGGCTGGATTGGCTTGCCAGTTTTCTGGGTTTTCACTGTCTGGTAAGCGAGAGCGGTCTATTGGGGACAGAAAAGGAGGTTGGGGCGTTTTACTTTTCTTACGGTCCTGTCTTGGCTTTCGCTCTGGGAGCGACATGGGGACATTTCACAACAATTCGGGTTTTGGCATAGGGAGATTGTTTCTTAGGATTTTAGTTTTAGAGAAGTAAGATTTAGGTTGCACCGGGGAATGAGCTGGGGGAATTGCCTTAGGTGGTGGATTACCAAGTATTCCCTTCATCCCAGCGGTTGGTCGAAAGGTGGGCACCTAGAATGGGCCTTTGAACTCCTTTGCTGGAGCGTGAGCTGGTTTCATAGGTGATAATAACTTGCGGTTGAGAATCCCGACTATGTTTGGTTCATCCGTGGTTATATCGGCGAGGCTTGCATCGGGAGTGTTGGCGAATAGTGAGGCGAAGCTTAGATTCTTGTCCTTTTTGGGAGAGGAGATTTGTGGTATCTTCTCAATATCCAGTCGCGTGAGATTGTTTGTCGTACGCATTTGCAATTTCTGATCTACCTTTAGGCCACCCGGTTTTTTGTCAGATTTTCTGACATGGAGAGGAATGTCGCGGGCTACCCCTGTGACATATTTACATCTCTTGATTATATTCGCCTGAGCAAGACAGTGCCATACTGTTTTGCACTTTGGCTGAACTCGACCACGATACCTGTGATCGGTTTCTTGTTTTTTGTTCGAAGATATGAACACCTGATTGTATTCAGGATCTCCAGTGATTTGAGGCTATCCAGGATTTTCTTGACCCTATCAGCTGCGGGTGTTTCTCCTGGGAACTTCCCCCAAATTATCATGCGTTTGCTGCATGCCTCTGTCTCAGACAGCTTATTGGCGGTGTCCAAGATGATTTGGCCTGATACCTTGAGGGTCATTTTACTGGCTTCCAATTGGGGAGAGAGACCCACAAGTAGTGCCTTCATCTCTACTAACTCAGCCTCCAGTTTGCCAACTTTCGTCTTTAGGCTTAAGATTGCCTCGCTCTGTAATAAGATTATCCTGTTTTGTATCACTGGGGAGGTGTTGATTACCGTGTTCTCAAGACGCATGGGTAAAGTTTCCTCATCTAGAGATACATCCTGGATTGAGATGCTATCGTTATTTTCTGCTATCATTTTGAGAGTAAGTTGTGATATAGCGGTTATATATGAAAAATACGAAAAAGCACCAAATGGAAAATACAGTAGATTGCCTAACCATTTTACACACCAAGTCTTGACCAATCGAGACGCTAAGAGCCACTAAGAGACATGATACCAATTGTGTCAGAAAAAGGAATAATAGCAAATGAAGCGAAGGGATATTTCAAAAAAGAACATCTTTCGATTCGAAAACGAATTATCAGAGCGAGCACTCAAAAATTTCAACTTGGCGCCTTGACTCCTTCGCGCTTTGGCGTCCTTGAAAATGATAATGCGATTTGATGACGAATAAATCCATATAGTTTTAAGTATGATTTCCGAGATAAATGACGCGGCCGAATTCAAAGGCCCCGAGTCACGTCAATCATTTCATGCAGACTCGACTTCTACAGTTGGAACTTCACGAACTCCGCGTGAGACCCGAGCTTTAACAGGTATCTGTTAAATATCTTATTATACTCACTTTGCCATTGTGACTGATCATGACGCTTAACATTTTATGTACAATTCCCAAAATTTTTCGGTCAAATAATCTGTCTCCAAGGTACAATGATGATAGAATGTTGTGCTGTCTGCATATTCCTGATGACATCCAACATCGGAAGGCACAGTACATTCCATCTCGTGGGTTGTTTCCGCGAATCACTGTTTACCCACTTAACCGCTTCCGGTCAGCCGAGCTGATTTGGAACACCATACCAGGAGGAATTTCTATGGCGTGCGATGATGTTATTAGAACCACGTGATTGCGCTTCCACTATTAAAAACAACTGTTTCAATTGATTTATACTGCGGTCAGCTTGGTATGGAAAAGATGGAGTCTGCTTCTCGGCTCACAAGTTGGTGGTTTTAATTAAATTATGACTTGAATCGTGTTGTTCAATTCTCTACTGACTGTCATGTAGACACAAAGTTCATATACAACCTTCCAAACGGACTCCACGGTTGTTGTCAGTCATGGCTATGAATACACGTCCACTCTTCAGCAAGTATTACTCATTGGTGATCATCGATTCCTATTCCCGTCGATCAGAAGTGTATTTCACTGCATTCCTACCGAATATACTACTCCATCTCACAGGAAATTTTCACTTAAAGTAGTCACCCCAACGCTATCATGATAGATAATGGCAACAACTACCCTGCTGAGAAAATTACTTACCGGTGAACTCTGTGGGTTGTCGCTCTTTACTGACTCCACAATCCAAAGGCGCAGCCAAAAACTTTGTGCGCATGCTGAGAACTAGTTTTAGTTCTGTGAAATCCAGTGGCTACGGGCAGTTCGAAAGAGCACTGTTCCCACGCCTGTTATCAGCGTTCGTTCGGCCACACAGAGTACGCCGTTCACTTATAGAATCCATGGGTAATCCGCAACAAGAAGGCTCTAGAACGTCCGCAAAAGCTGGCAACGAAATTGGTAAAAGGTCTATATAACAATACATACAATGAAAGACTGCAAATAATGGGACTCTGCTCACCCCAATACCGCCGACTTCGAGGGGACCTAATATTGGCATATCATATGCTGCATCAACCCAACCACCCTTGCCTCTGCCGACTGTATCCCATAATGATCACCTCAGGGGACATCCACTAAAGGTGAAGACCCAGAACAGGCACCTTGACTGTCGGCATCACTCGTTTGCAGTCAGTTTGTGGCGTATGGAATTCTCTTCACCTGATGTAGTGTATGCTCCTACAGCTGAACTATTTAAATCGCAACTTGATAAAGCATTGGAACACTTAAAATTTCAACATCCTTGAGTGATTACGCACATTATCACTGGTATTTTCTCTTTGTGAAGTTATTCAAAAGGTTCTGCAAAAATCCTATGGGGCATGATAAGCTTTAGCTTTGTTAAACCGCCTATAATAAAATTGACTTTATATGAACCGAACATAGTTGATAATTTCTTGATGCAATACTGTAACACAATATGTTTAGCTACTGAAAATAATCCAGCAAGTGTTTGAAAGTTGGCACTTCGACTGAATCGCCTAAATTTGAAATCGCCAGAGATAGTGTATCATCGTGCCAACAATTTACGATCATCCAGAGGCATTGTGTTAGATCACATGTGACAGAGTATATCACATATTGATTTTGGATGATGATACTGTGCATCGCAGAAATGAAAACCAAACTATTTGCAATTTGACGGGAATTAATGATAGTGTAGTGACGATGATTGTACGAAGAAAAGGAATCCACGAAACAATTTCCTGTCTGTGTTTTGATCACAATTAACCTTCACCAACTCTGATACGACCCCGGTTTTTTCTTTACTGAGCACGAATTTCCACCCAGGTGCACAAATAAACTGGGTTTGTGAGCATTTAGACCACGTGCGTTACAAGCGTGCAGGCTTTCGACACATTATCATAAGTCTAACAGGACGTACAAATTGCTAACGGCGTGTAACCGATGTGTGTATGAGACAGCTGACGCCATGTGGCCGATTTATTCAAGACGAGTGGTCGCACTGGATATCACGTGACCCATCGATTCCAAGTTCCAAGTGCCGAGGTAGCCTCTGACCGGCCGCAGGCCCTCTCCGGTCACATTAATTGCGGACCATCGTATTTTGATGAAACAAGAAAGCAAATGAGAGGACTAGTCCTGATGAGCATTTATTTTGAACGCATGTACATCTTGTTCTCTGCATTGGGAAACAATTGGAGGCATTGAGTAAAGTAGGGAGTCAATAATAAAAAAATACTACAAAAATACGCCTCTCTGAGGGAATTTGCTGTTTTTTTTACAAAAGTAGTGCATGTACGTTTTGGAGTTTGGAGAAAGCATAGAACTGGTTGGGACTAATTCAACAGATGAATATTTTGCCGTAGTTCTTCGGTAGCGACTTGATACAATAGGGGCCAATCCACGTCCAAATGAGTGCGCCACACTCGATAATTCCGGCACCAGCTTTGGGATGGGAATTGGGGTGAGGGAATACCGTGAAACAGGTTAGCCAAAGCACGACCGGTGATTTGATCGCCCAGGCTGGGACCGTGGGTTTGCAAAAACTCGCGTACTCTGGAGCGGACAGACTGGATCTGTGCGAGAAAGAGACAGTAAAAAAGGAAAGGAAGAAAACAATGTCACGAAAAAATGATGCGCAGAAGTAAAAGGTTATGCTGGTATGTTTGTCACACTGTGAAAAAAGAATGAGTCAGTTTCGAAACGTTGTTCTCTGAAAGGAATTTCATGCAAAAAAAGGAATGAATAGACAGAAGGACCCAAATGCACACTATATTGTACTGCTTCGTAACAATAGTAATAATTACAATCGTTTTTCCTTCTATTTAGTTGATAGAAAGCATACTTACAATCACTCACTATTCGGGGATTCAGTCAAGGCTAAGCTGCCAAACTATAGATAGGAAAGGAACGGGAGAACAGCAATGCACTAGATTCTCGATATCATCATTTGTTTCAGACCAGCAGATGCATCTGAATGCGATGCTTTCAATCTTTTTATACCAGGATGAGTGTTATGAAACTACTGGAGTAGAACAGGTGGAGGAGGAGCAGGAATCAAAACACGCTTCGCTCACAGGAGACAACAATCAACCACAGATATGGATTTTCAACGAGGGAACAGCTGGCGAACCTCGCAAATGAGTGTAGTGGTCAGTCAATCTATGTGAATGTGGGTGATAGCTGATTTGAGAACGGGACAGCAGCTAGTCGAATATTAGCAGGTGACACGTCTGCCGCGCAGGGTGTTTGAAATTTTGGCGGTATACATCGTCCTCCACCGAAACGTTTTCTGCCGCTTCTGGCGATTGCGGATTAGATGTGTTATGCTAATCAACCTGACTGAAATTGGTGTTACGGCAGTAGAGAATGTCAAATCATGTCCAAGGAGGACCATTGCTTATCGTCGAAGTCAACCGGGTAAAACACTGGGATGGCTTTCTCTGAACCGCAACTTGACAGTAAAGACTTACGATCAGTTGACAGGATAAAAATTCCGACCGCACAGCAACTTGTGAAGCGCTTTGACCGCAAGAACAACTGTTAGAGCTTTCTTTTCAAGTTAACCACAGCTCTTTTCGACCGAAGTCAGCATGCGACGAGCGTATATGACAGCGTTCTCTGAGCCATTCGTGCACTTGTGGTAAACGATAGCAATGACGTGGTCATTAGAGGCGTCTGCGGCAACGATGATCGGTAGCTTTGGATTGCTGTGTGTGAGCAGCATGGATTTGAGTTGGACAAAATACCTTTTGTAGGCAGGTGATCAGCAGCAGGGTACGTTTTTCCGTAAAACGTGATTGGCAGGGACACGAACGCTGTTCAGCGGAGAGGAACGTAAATTGGCAGATGACCATGGCAAGCAATACCTAACATTGCGAAATATTTGTGGATCTTGAATGACTCGAACATTGCCAGGATTGGGATTGGCGGCTATTGGCGCCAAAAATACAATCGAGGTATTTTATCGAGTGGAGAAAGAATCGACAACGTTCAGCTCCTAATCGAAATCCGTAATAAGGGACACGTTCGAAAACTGACTGCACCGGTTCTCGGAGCTCATCAGGCGTTCCAGCCGTGATGACTATTCTGTCCGAGAAACCGGCTGTACCCGGAAACCAGAGAGTCCATAATTTGTTGGAACAGAGCCGGAACTGTCTTAACGCATACAATACGCGCAATCACTAGGACACTTCCCGCGGGAGATGATAATGCGAGTTAAAGGAATTGATATTCAAATTAATATTTCGAAACTAATCCGTGAAACGGAAATGTTTGTGATAACCAACAAAGAGCACTGGACAGCTGTTTCGTCTTGTTTGGGACTCGTCAGCAGTGTGTACCTTTTGCGTCCTTGTCAGGACTCGAACCCTGAACATTTGGGTCGGGATTTCAAACCCTTACACCTGAGCTACACGTGGGGAATTAACGATCTCCTAAGGAGTGAAACCACACCCAAGACCATCAATATTGTCTAGTCCCTCTTAGCAATCGAATGGGCTAATCCAAGCTTGATACTCTAAATTGATTGAGTCAGGGACACAAAAAGTACGCATTGCTGACGGGTCCCAAAGAAGACGAAACAGCTGCCCAGTGCACTTTGTCGGTCATCACAAACATTTCCATCGCATTAAAATACGCACAAATAGTGGGGAATTGACGATCCCCCAAAGAGTGAAACCCACATTAAACATCATCAACAGTGCCTAGTGTCTGTGAAAAAACCCGAATGGGCTAATCCAAACATTCACCATCTAATCCGTGGGACGTTCATTCCCAGTTGACGATGAGCGCATAAATACACCGGTGGTAAACATGGAGAGGGGGAGAGAGAAGACAGAAAGATGAATGTGAACGGGACAGTAACTACCAGGAAAGGCGTCATTTGGTAGTCAGTATTTTTATAGAAAATTTTCGATCACAGCGAATTCAGGTGAACAGGCGAGAGGCGGACTGGTGTGGGAAGGTACTACTCCCATTTGTGAGTGGTGCTTTGCACGCACATGAAGAGGTTGTCTGTGGATAATCGCAGAATCTGAGAGTGGATTAAACTATGTACCAGTGTAACCACCGAAGAGGCAAATAGACTGTCGAGCTGTTTGAATACGTACCAACAGCCCGTCAATGCACTACAAACCACGTGTTGCAGATTAGATGTTTCGTTTTGTATGATCATATTCATTCCCTATTCATGTTGATCTTCGAATAAACAATTTCATCAGCCCAGCACTAGCCTTGTGAATATATATAACGCTAGGACCGAAAATCACTATTTACTGAACGGCATCGTTTGCATGTGCTACTCCATGATGGAAGACATCACGTAGTGATCAGAAAATGATCTAGAGACAAGAAGCAGAGATATAGTAATAATATCAACCAGACTGGGTATCCGTCATCCACCAAATTGGAGACCCTGACCAGTTTTCAGTATGATTCTTCAGGTAGCCTGGTCGACGAAGGACACACTATTGTGTATGTTTAACTGCACTGTGCATACTTTAAGTTGACCACATCGGTTCAGTTCGGTTTTCGTACCGAAAACAGGTTTAATCCCCATTCATTCCGTTTGTTCACATTGAGCTCAACAGCGAGTAGCAAATATCGATTCAAAGCTATCCCCATGATCAAGTGTATGAATAACATGAAATGAACGATGATGCACACCACATCACATCATCTTTTTTACGTTTTCATTTTTTACTTCCTCTTGTTGAATACATAATGTTCCGCCGCATTCGTGATATAACCTCGTCCCGAGGCAACAAGACGAATTCTATCACCCAATATTTTCATACCAAGCCACAGATAACGTATTCCAACCTTTAGTCCAATCACTACCTTACTGAACAGACGTTGCACGTAGGATGACATATCCGGAGACATACCTCCAGGTAATCGTAATCTTTCAAGTCAGAATTACTCAAAACTCCAGGTTTAACCACCTGAATACTCATTTGGCTGTGCTACCAAACTTGATCCTGATTTTGCCCATCGGGAAGCCCCGGCACACACACACGACCCGTTAAGACAGCAGGCGAACAGTGGGCAAGAGTCCGGTAAGGGTGAGAACGATTCATGAAATCCAAACATTCCGGTTGTCAGATCCAAGGCAACCCATAAGTTCAATAACCAAAGCTTTCTGAAACTACCGGGAAGTTCATGGCAAATGCCACATTGGCACAATCAATCCACTGTACAACGGGGTTGTAGAGGATTGAATTGGAATGCATAATGAATTTCGTGGTGTACAAAGAACGAGAGAGTGTGCGAAGGAGACATGGAATGAAAAGCCGCGACAGCTTCCTACTGGTTTCTTGACCTCATTGTGTTTCATCGTCAGTAAGGCTAATTAATCAACCCAACCGAGGATCGAATCCAGGGAAGTTTAACAGCGAATTCTGGCTTTTCTGTTGAAGGTCATGATATTTTGGAATGCCAGTGAGCCACTGAAATCAAGCATACTAGTCATTCTGCACAAGTGATGTTTGCGTTTAATACGGCGTACAGATAAGCAAGTAAGCAAACAAACACACGTACCTGCGAATCCGTAACCGGTGGTGGCCAGGTAAAGCTAACCGAAATTTCATCCGTGGACAAGCATTCCACAGACGTACTGGGTTGAGCGGTTTGAAAGTGCGCCAGAATAAGTTTGTGTACCAAAGCTGATCGCTCCGATCGGTCTGCGGTCAGAGTGAGCTGCTCCTTGGAGGCCGGTGCCGAATCCGGATAGATCTGATCGAATCGCGGTTTGGAGACTTGAGCTAAAGCACGAGTGAGCTGATCCAGACTATCCAGACCGGCAGTTTCGATCGCTTTCAGACGCTGCTGGAGGGAGTTGAAACACTGATCCAGTAATTCCGGTTCGACCGGTACTTGATGCGTCCAAAACCACCAGCTCCAGCCGGACAAATTAATCTGAATTCCGGTCCGATGCGGTCCTGATGAACCGGAACCGGCGGAACTGTGCCATTCAAGATTTTTTAGCTCTTGTCGCACAGCTGATGACCGCCAGCCCCATCGGTTACACAGGTACGGTAAATCGATGGTCAGCTGTCGCACACTGGCAAAGTATTCCACACGTTCGGCTGGAGTTTTCTGCTCACAAGCCACACTGATCCCAGCGGCTACTGCCAGGCAGTGTTGAGAGGCGTAGGCCATTTCTGCCGGTCCACCGTAGCAATCTACCACGGCAGTCTGGTTGAGATAAACAACAAATGATGCGAAAATATAACACATTCGAAAGCAAATGGGGGGAGAGAGAAATAAATCGAATCGGATCGCTCTTGTGAATACTATCATGATAACGGATTTGAATAAAGGGAATGAGCAACGAAACAAATTGGGCAGTCCTTACTATTCCATTTTGCCTGTTCGCCCCGAGCTTAGCAATTTGTTTGCTAACGTTACGTAACCAGCCGAGGTAACATCATCAGTGCTTGTGAAGTGGCAGTGTTCTGCTTGTACCCGTTCGTTTATGTGCTCTTCTGAACCGATATTATTTTTGTCCTTTGTTCTCACTGTGTTCGACTCAGCGCGCCGTTAAACTGGTGCGAGGGGATGAGGATGGGTACAAGCAGAACACTGCCACTTCACAAGCACTGATGACGTCATCTCGGCTGATGATGAAAAGCTTGCAAACAAATAGCCAACCTCGGGGTGCACAGGTGAAACGGAATTCCGTTCACCCGAGCTACGAGAACCGATTTCCAATTTTCAACAGTCCTTACTATACCGCTTCTTCATTTCCCTTGTTTGGGACCTGTGACGACAACTGCACACGTGGGGTCTACTTTTGCACACTAAAAAAATTATTATTTTGCAATCTAGCCGCCGAGTGTGGCATTCACATATCGTCTGATACAGTCCCCAGTTGCTCCTGTTTCCGTTGCATCTTTTCTTTGTTTAAGCTAGTACCCAACCTCCCACCCACCCACCCCGGGCATCGTATACGCATTTGCATCCGTTTAAGATATTGATTGTAGTCGGTGTGCAGAATCTTAATTCGCCAGTTGTAAAAATTTGTGCAGCACTATCCCCATACATGTTCGTCCGCACTGCGAACCGAGTACGCCCATCCCGTGCGGATTACGGCCTTTTCCAAAAGCACACAAAGGCACGTCTCAGTATGAAAACGTTCAAGACTAATAAGTCTCAATCCAACCGGCTTGGTGAGGTTCATGAAGCGCACAGTTTCAGGAATCCTTCAGATGGACATTAGGATGCTAATACCTAAATCGGTCATGACAAAGTCGCTAAGTACCCAGAAAAACAAAAGAGGAATGTCACCGTACCTTGAACCCGTTCTGTAACACAGTTATGATCGGGTTTTGTGAGTCCAATTCCATATAGGCCAGAATGGTGGCTAAACTTTCTGGTTTGATGTCCAACAACCGTTCCACCTCGGCCGGATCGATTGTGTGCACATGACCGGGACAAACCGGGGCAGTTTGGTCGTCGGCGGACGGACGACAAGTGCACTGAACCCGTTGAAACATCAGACGAAGTAAGCGTTTGATCATGACCGCATCAATGTGATTGGCAAAAATGTGTCGCCGTAATTCATTCGCCTCCTGTGGTTCGGTTAACAGACCGGGTGGAAGAAATGCGTGACAATAGGCCACCTGATTTGAACGGCCCACTCGACCGATTTCCTGCAATGTGTTATCAAGTAGAGAGGTGGGGGAGACGAGAGCAATTCAGATCTTGAGAACAAGTAGAATTAGGGAATTTAACACATGGACAGTAGATCGAGCAGTACGACAACCATGGATTGATCAGCTTCAAGTCATATGCATCCAGTTACACAGACAATGTACCCCATGCTGCCCGTCAATCTGTAGTGTGCGTCAGGCCAAATTGGCATGCATGCAAACACTTTTCATCAATAAGTCTTCAAAAGCACACACCCCACAGTAACCGTGTTGTCACAGTGAGACAAAAGCATCCAAACATCAACCGGTCTAAACGCGAATTCAATTCCTTCACTCCCCCCTCCCCACACACAAGCACTCATTTGTCGTACCTCGGATACTCGGCCCGTAAGCAATGAACTGTCTACGTACAGCACAGCTGAGTGCTACCGAGCGCGTCTCCAGGTCGCGGATAAGAGAACGGCCACCTTGGTGGTTAACCTAAAATAGATGGGGCTACCTCACTGAATGATCGGTCGCGGACGACCAGCGGCAATTCTAGACGACGTGGTGTGATTTTTGGCTGGCAACTGATATCACGTCCAAATGCTATGTGTTTGCTGACAGCATCGCGACTTGTGCGAATGTGGCTCGTCACCAAATAAGGCCATTACTATTTACGAGTAGGACAAACTCTGAGGAATGCTACCTTACGGACACGTTGGGAATCCTGGACTGGCGCAGAGCCATCCGAAAGGCGTATGGACTGTTCTAACGGTCACTGGCTACCAACAATTCTACTCTGTTACCCTGCAGGTTGCAAGGGTTAGAGGTACATCCTCGAACAAAAACCGAGCGACGCTGGGGACGTCACTTAGTATCTCATTCCCAAGTTTCTTCATGGATCGTCTTTATCTAGGAAGTCGACTTATCCTCCCGCAGGAATTAGTCGATCAAAAATAAAATTAAGTATCTCAGATAGGTGCTTGAAGAAACTTGACGATAGCGTGAAAGTTTGTTATGAACTATTCAATGCATTCGGTAGTTGGTAGAATGTTTCCACACTTTGGTTCTGATCGTACTTTGGATTGAAGGTCTATTAAGCACAACCAAAAACAGGATGTTCAGTTCGGGAATCTGGTGAATGCCTTGTCTAAATCATACAACACAACGTTACTCCATGAGTTCTAGCTGACAGCAGCGCTGAGCTCTCTCCGGGGTGACTGTCTGGCCACTGATGGAATCGCTCAGCTCTTTCTTTTTTTATTACGCACCGTGTGATGAACAGTAGACGGGATAAACCCCATAGTCACGTGGACCTGCTTTTCAGTGATGGAACCCAGTAACCTAAGGACCGGGACTTGGAGTGGTGAACCACATAAGGCTCCAATAGGTTAAGCAGGGTACTGAACCGGACGACAGTAGAGCTGCCTACCACCAACGACGACGAAACACAGATAGTT